CGAGGATCCGATCTGGGATGGGGCGCATGTTCCCGAGCAGGGAGAAAGCTGACCAGCTACCGTATTTAATACACACGACCCCTCCATCGACGTCCTCTGGATTGTGATGTTGCACAACCACAAACCCCTTCTTTTTCTTCTTTTGACTTGGCTCCAAGATCAGTTGTATGATCCTCGATGAATGGATCCCAAAGAAGGTATCCCCTTATGATTCATTAGTGACTCCTGCAAATATTCGTAACAAGTACAAATTTAAGAGATTTATTCCTTTTTCCATCCGAGGCTCATCAAGGAATTTACATCCATTCCTCGAGAATCCCCGTAAAATCAAGCAATTTTTCACTTTCGCCGTTGTATTGGACTTGTCCCACCTATCGATAAGGGTCATTGGTGTTCGGCCTAGAATCGGATGCCGATTCTCTGACTTCCGATTCCAAAATATTAGAATTGAGAACTGGTTCGATTTTTGTTTTGTTCAGAAAAATCAAATTTTTATAATAAGGTATAAACATTGTACAATTTAACTACAAAAACATAGGTTGATCAAGTGGTTATATTGTAGTTGCTCATGGTATAGACCATGGTTCGATTCTCCATGTGCACAAAAAAAGTGTTATTTTTCCTTGAAAGACCAATTCCAAATTGATTCAACTTGGGACAAGAATAAAGTGTTCCCGAGTAGAAGCCTTGGAAGCCAGGAATCAAACTAGTTCTTACTAGAATCAGCCTTGAGCTAGTTGGCTCAGTTAGGTGACCAAGTTTAAACTGGATCCGGTACTCATCCTTCATTGACGCTAGGGGTGATCGATTCCAAACCAATTTTGGTCTTGAGCCAATTGAAGAAACCCTCACCCTTAGTTGACACGAGGGGTGATTGGTTCCAAACCCATTTTGGTCTTGAGCCAATTGAAGAAATCAAGAGATATTTGAGGGGTACTCACCCTTCATTGACGCTAGGGGTGATCGATTACAAACCAATTTTGGTCTTGAGCCAATTGAAGAAACCCTCACCCTTAGTTGACACGAGGGGTGATTGGTTCCAAACCCATTTTGGCCTTGAGCCAATTGAAGAAACCAAGAGATATTTGAGGGTTTGTCTCGATTTTGCATTGGACTCAAAGTAAGATAAATGGGTTTAAAAGAGAAGAGAGATTGCGGGTTTCAAGAATAGGGACCTTATTTCGCCTCTAGAGGAGGGTAAAGATTAGGCCGTCCTTTTCCCAATCGTATAGGTTGAAGGCATTGTTAATCTCTACCATCGAGGAGCACTAGCTGGTTCTCAAAAGGTCGTGAACTCGGCGTGGCTGATGAAATCGTCCTTGTTAGAGTCGATAGCCTCCATGGTGCGATGGATCTTGGTAGTGGAGGAGGCCAAAAACAGTGCAAGAAAGAGAGGCAAGAGGCGAGAGTTGAGACTTGAGATGAGATAGTGAGAGGAAGGTGTCGAGCGAGAGGGATGTGACTTAGGTAAGAGGGTGGCGTCCAGGCTGCGAGAGACGTGAGTGACTGAGAGTGAGAGGCATGAGCGTGAGCGTAAGACTAAGGGTTTGTGAAGAATGAATTAGTGTTATCAGGTTTGGGAAAGAGGCTTGTGCGAACGTGAATAAGTCATACGTAACTGAGAGTTTGTAAAGGGATTGGGGTTTTTAGCTTTGTAAAAATAACTAACCCAAGACTAAGGGTTCGCGAAGAATGAATGAGGATTATCAGGGCTGGGAAGAGGCATGTGCAAACGTGAGTAAGTCGTGCGTGACTGCGGGTTTGTGAAGCGATTGGGGTTTTCAGCTTTGTGAAAATAACTAAATAAATCTATCCGGTCAAGGTGGTTCGGGTTCACACCTCGAATCACAAACCGGATCGAAATTCACCGCTTCCAATTTTATGAAACTTGGAATCAAATCGGGGCTTTGAAAGCTGCCCAAAACCAGCCGATTCAGTCCGATCATGATGATTCCCGGTTCGGATGGTCCCTTTTCGAAATCATCAATTTTGCATCGGATGGACAGAATATGTCACGGATCGCCAGATCAGAGACAAAGAGAGGGGGGATCCTTAACGATGCTCTCTGGCTCGTCCAAGGGGGCCAGGGCCCTAGGCCCCGGGGACCATGCTGAGCTCGAGCAGAGAGCTCGACGCAGTTCTGCGGAAGCGCGGTGGAACTTCCCGAAGATTTTCTTCCGCACCGGGACGACGATGCTGCGCAACTGCACGCTGCAAAAGGCCAAAAAGGAAACCACTACATCCATCGCTGCCCGACTGTACCACGGCCAAGTGTTGACGGGGGATTAACCCGAAGTAGAAAATGATTTCATCAGTGCTTTTCCCTTTTTGAGTGATTCCATTGATATTGAATATGCAGTTTGTTAATAGTGCCCCATTGGGACTGGGAACTCGATAAAAGGGAAAAAAAAAATATGAATTGTGCTTGAAAATGTATTTTTAGTACATCATAAGTATAACACAGGTTTCAATGCTACATCAATGCTTCTTATCGAGTAGTGTAAGAAGATGATAATGTGGGAAAACGAAACTAATAATCTATAAACTTTGACTCAATATATATATCATATAGTCCTTGAACTTTAATTCAATGTGTAATATAATTTTTAAGCTTTTAATTTGTTAAATGTAGCCCTTAAACTTTTGCTACATGTTCAATGTAATGAAATTGTTCAATATTGTCTTTCCATTAATTCAAGATTAGGGACAACATTGAACATTTTCATATAGTCCACATACTAAATTGAACATGTACCAAAGGTTCATGGACTATAATGAACAAATTAAAAATTTAGGAATCACATTGCATATAGGGTATTGAACAAACTAAAAGTTCATGGATCACATTGCACATTAGGTCAAAGTTCAGAGACAATTTATGTCATTTTCCCTAATAAGATCTATTTGATGTTGCCATCCTTCATTTTTCATCTCTCTCATCCTACTAAATTGGCATTCTCATGAACCTTGGAGCATATGAACTGTGACAATCGTGGATTAATTCACTCGAGTTATTGTTCACTTTGGTCCATCTTCTATCAAGTCTCATGATTTTGTCCCTTTGGCATAGGGTTGGACACTTTCCCGAGAGGTCAGCTAGTGCGGTAGTGCTCTTATCTAAGCATGCTTACGTCAAAAGGGGCCCATTATGAGTTAATTTCAATTTTTCATGTATAATCCAACAACGTTCTTCTCCTATTCGGTGCATGATTTAGATCCACTCAACATCCCATAAATTTGTCGGACCCGCTCCTTTGTGCAGGCTCTCGCCCTGATGATCACTTCCTGGCCTTGTCAGATCTGATCGAATTGTTACAAGCACAATTTGTGGTCTCGCTATCACTAGTGTCAAATTAGTATATATTCTAATGGAATAAGGACACAAATAGTCCATGAACTGTGACCAAATATGTAATGTTGTTGAAAATGGTCCTTAAACTTTAGCTCAATGTGTAATGTGGTCCCTCAATTTTTAATTTGTTTAATGTGTTACTTGGACTTTTGATATTGTTCAAGTTAGTCAATATGGAAATGTTTAAGGCAAAAGTGTCAAAAAAGTCCTAAACCTTTTGCATTGGTGCTAATTTAGTCATAAACCTTTTTTGGTGCCAATTCAGTCTTAAACCTTTTGCATTTATGCAAATTGAGTCATAAACCTTTTGCATTGATGCCAATTCAGTCCTAAACCTTTTGCATTGGTGCCAATTGAGTCCTAAACCTTTTTTTGGTGCCACTTGAGTCCTAAACCTTTTGCATTGGTGCCAATTCAGTCCTGAACCTTTTTGAGCTAAATTAACCGGAATGACTGAATTGGCACAAATGCAAAAGGTTTATGACTGAATTGGTACAAAAAAAAAGGTTTAGGACTCAATTTGCACAAATGCAAAAGGTTTAGGACTGAGTTGGCACCAAAAAGAGGTTTATAACTAAATTGGCACTAATGCAAAAAGTTTAGGACTTTTTTGACACTTTTCCCAAATGTTTAATGTTATCGTTTCGTTAATTTAAATTGAGGCAGAATATTTAACATTTTCATTAAACATGTATAAAAAGTTAAGGGAAGACATTACACATTTGTCTAAAGTTTATGGACCGCATATAACAAATTAATAATTCATGGATCACATTGCACATTGGGCTAAAATTCAAGAACCATTTGTGTCGTTTTCCCTATTCTAATTGCTTGCTTGCTTGCAATTTTTTACATTATCTAGTTGCACGACATGTAGCTATGCGTGCTCGCGGCGAGCTTAATCCTATTCATGCTATACACGGACTAGCTTTCCAAGCCCAGACGCGCTTAATTAAACATATCCGCGCGTTTCACGCATCAATCGTTCCGATACTTTAAAATTCACTCGCACACATACTCAACAGGTTATAGAATCCCTTATATCTCATGTCGCGTTTAATAAATGTAATCGCATTTGAACTTCAACAACAAATATTTCGGATTATACGCCTGAAATTCCACGGGGATATGCCTCGAACCGCCGATACGAGAACGCGAACCCCGCTGCCCCGCCGGCCGACGGCCACGCGTCGCCCCACGATTGGGCTGTCACGAGCCGCGACCCCACGCTCCCCGTGCACACGCGCTGCGTGTCACGGTACCCGAACTCCACTCCCCCGCCCACACTCGAATCGAATCCCTCGAAACAATAAAAACTTTTTGAGAAAAATCTTGTACTTAAGCCAAAACCAAAATCATCTCATCGCTCATCATCAGATAGAGAGAGAAACCGTCTCGATATGGCAAATCAATTTTCCCGGGAAAATCACCAAAACCCCCCGTCCCAAAATTTTCCCTCCCCCGCTTTTTTTGTTTTTACAGACGTCACAGTCGCACGTAATTAATTACTCCCCCCCGAAAAATGATATACGTAAATAATTAAAAAATACGGGAAAATAAAAATAAAGAAAATAAATATCCCCCGAAAATGCATCAACAGCCTTATATTTATACCCAGACAAACAGATATTATTGATTCAAGGAGACCTTCGCCTCCCCAGTCCCCCACCATACCCAGTGCCCCGAGCATCAAATCTCCCCAGCCTCAGAGTTCGCCGGACTCCCCCCCCCTTCCTTCTCCGATCCTCCCCTCGCCCGTCACCGACGCAGCTCCGGCCGGGGAGCCTCGGCCAGTTCCCCCCTCCCCCTCCGGTCATGGCGAGAGAATGAGGGACCGCCCCGTCGCGCGCGTGCGGCCGCCGATCATGCCGGTCTCGTGCTCCGACTGCTTGTCCGACCTGCTCTGCGAGGAGGACTCCGCCGGGGTCCTGTCCGACAGCTCCCCCGAGTGCTCGTCCTCGGACGCGGGCTCCCAGGCGGGGCGCGCCGAGGAGTCGGTGGTGGCCGGGTTCATCGAGGCGGAGGGCCGCTTCCTGCCCGGGTTCGACTACGCGGCTCGGTTCCGGTCGCGGTCGCTCGACGCCTCCGCGAGGGAGGAGTCCGTTGCATGGATCCTCAAGGTACGGCTTCGATGACGACGCCGATCGTCACCACCCCGTGTCGACAGCCGGGCACGAGCCCGCACGATGTTACGATAATGCCGCGGCCGTGCGATCGTCGGCCTTTCGGGCCTGCGGCCGCGAATCGGATCGGAGCAAATGGATCCGAGCGATCCGATCGGCGTCGGCGGCGGTGGCGGCGCGCATCGGGCCCGGCGGCCGCTCGTGAAACCGGCCGCCGCGCCGTGGAACCTCCGCGGCCCGCCACGAGACAAAAAGTCTCGGCTCGCTTCGAGAGTTTGTTAATCCGGATCCTCTCGGATGACGTCTCGCTTTTGTCTGACGTGGGAATTCGCGTTGCAGGTGCATGCCTTCTACGGATTCCGGCCGCTGACGGCGTACCTCTCCGTCAACTACATCGACCGCTTCCTCTACTCCAGCAGCCTGCCGGTGAGCTCCCGTCGACGAAACCTCGAAACTCCGCCGGTCCGCGTGAATATTGCGTCGTCGAGATTGGCGCGTCATGGCTATTGATTTTCCCTCCCTTTAATTTTTTTTTATCTTTTTTTCCCCCTCGGAAATCGTGCAGCAATTATTTGATTACCCGGGAGTAATTATACTTGACCTTTTTGAGGAAATAACGTCGAAATGACATAAGCATCCCCCCGCCATTCTCTCCTTTCCCCTCGTCGACCAATAATGGCCATTATAATAACGATCGATTTATAATATCATTATCCTAAATAATATGGTCAATTTAAATGCTCGTTTGTATGGTACTTTAATTGTAAAAGTTGGTCTCGTAATTTAAATAATTTTCTTTTGTGGGTTAGTGTAAAGTAGCGGCGGGCGCATTTTAGTGCGCGTTGCGATGTTGGTGCATACGTGTACATTCACGTTTTGTTGACCGGCTATTATACCCAACGGGGAATCATGCACTGCATTGATTATCGCGACATTGCGTGTATACCTACGAGGAGCCTTTCATCGGCGCTTTTGGCGAACTTCCTTCGTACAATTATTGTCCTAAAGTCTGGATTTTTTTTTTATAAAATGAATTGTTTTTGACCCTTTTGTTTGTGTTTTTCTCTGGGATTCCTTGTTTCAGCAGCCGGATGGGTGGCCGATGCAGCTCCTCTCGGTGGCTTGCTTGTCACTGGCTGCTAAGATGGAGGAGCCTCTGGTTCCTTCTCTTCTGCATCTTCAGGTCCTTGTCAAATTGTCATGTCTTGATGACTTATCTGTACCTAACCCCAGTCTGGCTTTAATTATTTTCCTCGACGAAACTATTGGGCCCTTTATGTAATTATTTATTCACTTGCTTGTTTTATTGATCCTCGTGGAAATAATCCCCTTCTTTGACCCAGGTTGAAGGTGCCAAGAACATTTTTGAACCGAGGACAATCCGCCGGATGGAACTTCTTGTTCTAAGCGTCCTGGATTGGAGGCTCCGATCCATAACGCCCTTCACCTTCATCAGTTTCTTCGCGTGGAAGGTCGATCCAACCGGCACCTGTGTCGGGTTTCTCGTCTCGCGGGCGACCGACGTAATCTTTTCTAACATCCAAGGTAATTCCAGTACCGGTATACAGTGCAGATGTTCATGCCTCCACAAAAAAAAAATAAAAAAAAAAGAGAACATCGGAATGAATTATTAGTTTCCTAACTGAAATCAGCGCCTGTTGGTAATGTAACAGAAACTAGCTTCCTTGAGTATCGACCGTCCTGCATCGCTGCCGCGGCCGTGCTATCTGCTGCGAGCGATATCCCGAGTCTGTCTCTATGTAAACCGGAGAACGCGGAATCATGGTGCGATGGGCTAAGCAAAGTAAGCTTCTGAACGTGACTATGGTTGGGGGCAGTGTTCCACAAAGAATAAAAGGGGAAAAAAACAATGTAAAAACACGAGTCCATATCCAATTTTATTCTTTTTGCAGGAGAAGATCATCAGCTGTTACCGATTAACGCAAAAACTGGTGCGCGGTAGTAGCAAGAGGAAGGCCCCAAAAGTGCTGCCCCAGTTTAGAGTGACGACTCAGGCAAGAGCGAGGTTTAGTGACTCATCATCCTCGTCCTCGTTATCGCCATCGGACAATAATAAAAGGAGGAAACTAAATAACAGCTTATGGGTAGATGTTGACAAAGGAAACTCCGAGCAGGGGGAAATAGAATAACTAAGGAAGAGAAAAAGCCAGGCAGAAAAAGGAGAGAGAGGGAGAGAGAGCGCGAGAAACCCGACGATGGGTGGTCCCCGAGCTGTCTAGAAAGTAGAAGCCTCAGCGTTTTTTGTTGAGAGGGCTTTCTGGGGTTTGATCAGATTGACTTGATGAAGTTGAGTGATGTAGAGACCATTAGTATATAATGTATGTATGTACGTATGAGAGGGGGGTTGGTGCTTTTGGAGATTTTCTTCATTCTTTTCTTTTTGGTTTTTCTCAAGGAGGGCATTGCCACAAACGTTAATGTGGGGGGGGGGGGGAGATGGGCTGGCTTTGCTGATTCCCAAGGGAAGAGGGGGGAGTTATTTAATGATGTTCGGGTATGAAAAGCAAAGGAGGATAGAGAGAGAGAGAGAGAGAGAGAGAGAGATGGTGGTGGTGGTGTTGAAATAGTGGAGTGATGGAGTGTGACAGAAGTGGGGGATTTGAATTCAAAGGCTGCATTGATTGTGGAATGAAAGGGGAAGGAGATCGTGGGACCTTCACGACTGTATAGAATTTTGTTTTTTGCGTTTTTGGAGAAAAGGGAGGGAGGGGAAGGGCGAAGAGACATCTACGGTCCACGAGATGGCAAGATTAAGGGCATAAATATATAATTATTTTAATGGTGGTGGTGAAGTAATTCAAAGTCAAGGCCTACCACATCTACTCCCTGAAAAGCTGAACAAGATGCTGCTCCTCCTTGGATGTTACTAGAGTTTTTGAGACTTGAAAGAGTGCTGTATGGTGTGCCTTTTTCTTCTTTTCTTGGCGGGAATCACCTTCCCCCCTTTTAATGGCCTAGGGTTCGGCCTGACCTTATACTGAAATCCCTTTTTGAGTGCTGCTCCATACGTGCGAAGGACACACGTGCGGACAAAAAATACTTTAAATTCTTTTTATTTTTTTGGTTTGAGGCCCGCCCCGACCCCTGGCCCTCGCGATGAGACGGGAGGGAGGAGGGGGCGGCACCGGCTGATCGTTCGGCCCTCACGAACATAAAAGGTTTTGGGACCTGTTCATGCTGTGTTTGTATTGGTTTCCATGGATCCATGTAATAAAACAGACTGTATGTCTTTCATAATCTCTTGACCCACAAAATGTGACATCTCTCTCTCTCTCTCTCCCTCTCTGGCTCTCTCTCTCTCTCTCTGTGCATGGCACGTGATTGACTACGAAAGGCTTTTGTAGCGTTGCCGTTTGTTCTCATTTCGATCGTCAGTACGTGTAAGAATAGCTTTTTGCAAGAGAAAGCTTTTGGAATTTTGCGTGGGGCGATGGCTCCGTGAACAGAGCGGGAAGGGGAGGGGCACTCTCGGTCGGTCCCGCTCGCAATAAAGGCGGAGGGGCTCAGGGGAACCAATCCAATCAACCAACTCTTATGTACAACTCCTCCTCCTCTTCCTCCTCCTCATTTAAGTGGCCGAATTGCCTCCCGTGACACCGCCAATGAATTAACTCTTTTCCATTGGCATCCGCTCGGATATTGTTCCCCATCCAATCCCCCCAGCTCCGCCTCTCAAATTGAGAGACACCCAGAGAGTACTAAAATGGCCACTTTCGTTGCATAGCGACCATGAGGCACGAAATTTCCTCCCCTATGCTCATCTTTGAATGCCGAGCGGGGCGGTACGGTGGCTCGCGCACGAGTCACGAGCGAGAAAGCTCGGAACACAATGATGGGTGAAGTTCATTATAGGAAAAGGCCAAGGCTTTTTGATGCCTCCTTTTATTTCATTTTTTTTTTTTTGTGCACTCGGCACAGTAAGAAGAACAAGGTCCCGGGCATTAGTCTTGTCACTTTGCCCTGTATCCCCGACACAGCTTATGCTGTTCTCTTCTTTCGTGCGCATAGTGACCAAGTACCACGCAAATGGCCCTCTCTATTCATTGGCCGGTGATGACAGGTAACCATTTTTTCGGGCAATTATGATCCTGCCATCTTGTCGTCGCCATTTCCAGCAATATGTGCGTCTTCATGAAGCCTTTGGTGAATAACATTGTTCACATAAGTTATGCGCCCCTTTTTTTTCATTTGCACATTATTTGGCGTGTACGCCTAGCTTCGTCGGTTGGACCACCTGTAGCATGAAATACACAGCGACGGTTACGCTGCGGTACTGTTTCTCTTCATCATCATCATCATATATGCCATTGATGGAGGAGACTAAAAGAGCAAGGGCCACATGGAAGATACTTATATAGGTTTTCTCATCCTGCGTTTGTGGCCATACATAAAGGGTTGATGCTAACTGGAATTTTACTTCTTCTACATCATACTTTTTATTTTAATTGATCATATGGTTCCCACAATCTACCTCATAAGGATTTTAATATCTTGGAATCATTTGATTTGATGAAGCGGCTATGGAAGTTGATGTAGGAATGCGATGTGGCCTTTGCTCAATTAGTCCATCGTGGTGGGACTTAGGGAGCCTCTGGGAATTTGGACTTATATCGCCAATCAATGTCACCCCCTCTTTCAGTCTTCCCCACTGAAAAGGGCTACACTAAACAAAAATGGGACTCTGGTTTGGTAATCAACTGCTTCGAGGAATTTAATAACTAGTTAATTAAGAAAAAAAAATGTGTATAGCCCACCTCTCGGATTGCTATCGTCCACGAGCTTGCATAGATGAACTCATCTCGTGAGTGGGGACATCATCAGCACAACAAGGATGGATGAGGAGGAAAAGCAAAAGGAGTAAAGAATTAGGAGATTTAGAAGAAGAACAGTGTCCATGTAATAAGATAACATTAACTGTCGGTTCGTATGTTGGAATATGTGACGAGACAACATTCCCCACAGTCCATCAACGATAATATTAAATCCAGCATGTTGCTCATAAAGAAGAGAAATATGACTCAAATATCCATCCTTCAATCTGGACATATGCTATCTAACTTCCATTCTTTACTTAGTAAACTGCGATCCATCGCTGTAAAGTCAAAGTGCCATTTGGAAATTATGGGATTGATAGAGAAGATCCGACAAGGCTTTATAAGATTAGCATTGAATACGATTGGTCTTGCGTATAAGAAAACACGTGATTAGTGACTAATTTGTAGGTATTACGCTTGTATAAAATACGTTTTTGGGGGGTGGGCTATAATAGCCGACGAAATTAGGACCGGTGGTGACGTGTCCCCTTCTCATTGGTTGCGAAAAGTGGTGACCTGGCTGGGACCGTGGGGCACATGCAATCTTTGTCCGCAATAAGCTTTGAGAATCGAATCCAATCCAATCCGTCAAAAGGAGTCCGGGAGATATCAGTACGAGGGTAGTTAGGGTTGAAAAATGTTCGGACACCTTTGGTAACTGGTGCAAATAATTCACATGTAATTGCACTAAAGAAGAAGAGCATGGCCGAGGAACCATCATGAACGTTACTTACAAAAAGTTTTATGAGATATCTTATTCCACAGTGAAAGACAAGGGGTGTGACAAAAGTGACCAAAAGGGCGACGGCTGCTTCGTTTTATTTCATCGTGCAAAATTGCCATGGATGTAGACGGCTTTCATAAATTTTTTTTCGAAATGCTTTTAAAGTGTCACGTACACGATACTCTTAAGTTAAAAAATCTAAATACCAAAAGAGTCATCTGGTCTTTCTATTGTTTATATTCTATTTCATTTTATTTATCTAGTTAGGTGATTTTATCGCGATAACTCAAAAAGATTCGATTAACTTTGAACGAGTAACCACATCGACGCGAATCTCTGAAATGTTAGTTGAATACAGTGCCACTTTCTAAGCACTTTCTTTATGAATATATGAACAAAATGGTCTTTAAAGTTAGGAATCCTAAGTATAAAACCTAAAAGCCAAAGTTTCTTTCCACGGCCCAAGATAATGAAACTAGGGTTTCTTTAGGGGTGTGTAGGGAGCAGAGTCTAGGCTCATTCCCTCACCTTTTTTCAATTGTGGGAGATTTTCGACTTTAGGTGGCCAAAACACATTAGAAAGGACCCATCGGAAAATTTCAGCTTTTGAACTTGATTTTTAACTTGTCAAGCCATATGCTCGTGGGGTTTTGATAGCTGCAAAAAGTATCATTCACAGGCCCTCGGGCTAAAGGGTCTCTCTTTTTCTTCAAAGGAGGGAATGATTCTGAATTTCTCAGAGATATGATCTCTTGATTACATGCTGAATGCAAAAGACAGCACCCACTCTATAGGCCCGAGCGGGGAGGGTCCCCCAACTTCCCCAACCCATGTCAAATTTCATCACAAAAAGAAAGGAAAAGCTTCAAAAGGAAAAGGCAAGTGAAAAAAAGGGAAAATCTCATAAGCATCATGCCTACGCCCCCCCATGAACCGGGGGGGGAGATCAATATTTTGTCTCTTTGATTGCCAACTGCCCTTGGACGTAGACCTGCCTGAACCCCCCTTCAGATTAATCGCTCTTGGCAATTAGCTGCATCATTTAAATATAATATCTTTCTTTATCATATCTTACATTCAAACCCTTGAACGATTTAAACCTTCAGCATTTAGCAAGGGCTAATTCATCCACATTCAACATAGATTCCTCTTCTAGTTCTCTAGTACAGCTAGACTGAGAAAGGTTCTACAGTCCTATTCATGAAGCAAGTGTACTTCAATCAACCCAAAAAACACATGTTTCTACTTTGAACCGATTTGTGATACCCAAACTATAAACTAGCATCTTAAAAAAAACGAGTCGTCCGACTGTGCCGACTCCGATCTCGACATCATATGTTTAAAATGATGGGATAAAAAACCCGGAATGAATGAACAGGACTCTGTATTACCATCCCTCTCCAATCATTGTTACATGATCGAATTAGGATCTTGCCAATGGTTTCGCATATGTTTAAACCGATGCTGATGCTTGTAAAAAAGCGGTGGAACAACACAGGCAAAACAAACAAAACAAAACAAAACAAAAGTCCCTTTGGCTGAAGGAGGAAGCCCTATTTATTGGCTTTACAACTCAGAGGCCTGATCTCTTTGGATGCCAATTTAAGGACATATATAGAGGAAAGGCAGACAAAGAAGAGCGAAAAAGAAGCGGGCTTGTGTGGGGGGAGTAGCTACTATCGAGGGAGCGTCTATGTCCATGTCGTGTTGTTCTTTATTTGTTGTTCTTTTAGCTTTGTGCGATAGTGGATGGACCTCCATTAATTCACATGTGGAGTGGAGAAAAAGAGTCGCCCATTTAATCATCAACACAACCATCAAAATCATATCCTTCCCTTCATCACACCATTCACGACTCTTCGATCACTCACATCTTTATCATTCTCTCCACATACGTAACATGTGTATATACACATATTTAAGCATGCAAGAACTTGCCCATATAGGTTGATGTACGAGCCCTTTTGTTGAGGGACATGGAATTTGTTAACGAGCGCCCTTAGGCATTGGTTAAATTTTTATTTAAGAAACTTTGTGATTTATAATGCATTGTCTTTTTTTCATATTATGTGTAATCAATACATTGAAAATCGAAACATTTCCTTAATATATATGGCTAACTAGTGCCATGGGGCACCCATTGACAAGACCCTATATATATATAATTCAATTAGTGGTACTTTGGTGAATGTCGAGCAGATATCGGAGCCCAGTTTAATTTAGGGTTGATATTGACACAATTACTATCTAGAGTTCTTATTAATATTCACAATATTTTTGGGCTTACATTGTGCGTGAGGGGATTCCCGACGTAGGAATTGGAGGCCGCCTGTTCAAATACTATCAATTATGTGTAGATTGTTTCGGGTTCGATTCACGACGCTTGTTAGATGTTCCACCGGCCTCCAAATAGCCGGACTTCTGCATCTATGGCCTCCCGAATTATTAAAAAAAAAAGAGTTACAAAAGGAAAGTGCTCAAAAATCTGACTTTCCCAATATGATCCGAATAGGTGTTTGATCCCAATGATATTACTCAATTAGGGGGATATTAACCACGTTCGTCAAACTCCACTATCTTCGGCGAGACTAACAAAAAAAAGTCCTCGAGAACAGTCTAAAAAGCATCGCCTCCATGTGTATGCTGTGAAAGTTTGGTAAAGCAATGAACTTCCCAAAAGGCGCAGCACGATCTTTACC